TAGGCCGTGTTTCCCCTGGCAGACCGTGTTTTGCCGTCTCTAAATGATGCAGCCATGAGCCATCTCAGAGACTTCCATGTGCAGTAGGGCCCCACGGGGTCCTTATAGTAAAAAAAAAAATTCATTCACATCTTAATGAATATAGTTTGAATATCAATTGTATTTAGAAATTTAGAAAAGTAATCAAAAAGTAATCAAATGTAATCAGTTTACATTACTTTAATAAAGTAATTGAAACAGTTACACTACTTATTACATTTTAAATAGGGTAACTTGTAATCTGTAACCTATTACATTTCCAAAATAACCTTCCCAACACTAAGCATCATACCAATCATGTTCTGTTATACTCCAAGCCTTTTTTTTAAATTGTGATCATTTTTGTCACATATTGTCTGTATACATTTCCTGTTCATTCATTTCTTTTTTTTTTTTATTTCTGATTGTTATTACCTGTGTCTAGTTTAGATAATCATAATCCTGAGTCTACATTGAATGTATTCTCTGTTCTTCATTTTTGTTTATTTCTTTAAACCTACAGCATGCAACTTTTGGCCCTCTAGCGGTTAACAAAATAAACTATGCATCTTGCAGGAGAACATTATTTTGGTTGTGTTTTGGTCGTGCTTTGGCTCTGCGCCTCAGGAAATGAACTGAAAATGTATCTGACTTTGTGCAATGTGACTTCAGTGTGAATAGTCTGGGTACAATCTATCAGTCAGCTACAGATTGAAGCCTGTGATTGGGGAAAACTCATGCCACCTTTTAGTACAACATGCAACAGTCAGTCTACTCACAAGGTAGCACATTGCTGTAACGGTTCTTCGGCTTGTTTTCAATAGCCAGGGCAGTGTTTTTGGACTGTGCCGTTCCAACAATTTTCAACTCCTGCAACAACACAGCACTTCTTTAGATCTAGATTTTGAAAACACTAATTTCTAAATGAATTTCTGTGACAAGTCCAGAGTAAAACTGTTTGATAATATTGTCATAGGAAGAAGTGTGTAAATAAAAAAAAAAAAAACATATTTGTGTTTCTCATGTGTACCTCATACTCTTCAGCAAAACCACAGTTGGAATCCGCATGTTTCTGCTTAAAGTACTCTTCATAATCCTCTATTCTAAAAGCAACATTACTGTGTACCATAAAGAAACACGTAAAAAAATATACAATAAAGTGTAAAAGAATAATGTTTCAACATTAAAAATGAATAGATTAATAATAAAACAGTTACTTACATTTTATTGCTGGAAATAGAAGGAAAAATTAATGCATTAACAATTTTAAGTTTTGTCAAAGAACATTTTTAACTGTAAACATCTCAAACAAAGTTACCTAATGGTGTGTACAGGGATGTCGGGACATTGTTTTTTGGTTTGTCTGTAACAGAGAGTAATAAAGAAATGTTACTAAAAATTAATCTGAAAGACTTTTGTTTCTTGAAATATATCCGGTATTTACTTCTCTGATGACACTGGCAACTCACCTTCTTGAATAGAAGAAGAGAATGAGAGTAATGATGAAGAGAAAACAGATCACTGCCAACACTACGCCAACAATCAGTGGAATGTTAGACTCAGGGGAATCTACATGAGAATTATTACATAATATAATTAAACACATTTCCGGTGAAGAAAAAGCAGTAAAGTATTTAAAGCTTTTTTTTTTTCAGAATAAAACCTTGTTCATTATATTATCCAGATCACTTAATGAAAAGATGATACACTGAGATGCAATAGATTATCTTTAAAAAACACATTATGGGTATTATGTAATTTTCTGATGGAGTTAGTAACATTGAGTCACAACATTATATTAAATGTTACTTTGGGAGTTTTGTACAAGATTTGCACAAATGGGAAGAGGACAGATATTTGATCATTTTACATACTGGTAAATTGTGAGATGCAGACAGTTTCTCCTTCTGTTGATTGATCTGCTGCCACAGCAGTGATGCAGAATGTGTAATTGACTCCAGCAGTCAGATCAGTGATGTGATATGAAGTGTTATTAGTTGTTACATACTTCCTTTTCTCACTCCATTGAATTCTAAAAAAATCTCTATTTCCAGCTGGTTCATTCCATGTCAGATACACAGAAGATTTTGTGACATCAGTCACTCTGAGTTTCTTGATCACATCTGGCTCTGTGTGGGGAAAATAAAAATAAATGAGTTGGTGAAAGTGGGAATTATAATTATACAATTACATGGCATATGTAGTTACACCAGAATTTGTGAGAATCAAATGTACACTGTACAATTTTCCGTCCAAAAATGAGATGCTGACAAAGCTGAGGATTAACAGGTTATGACAATAAAAACATATTCAATGTGTACAACTAAGAACATGCGATAGCACTTTAGTTTAGGGACGAATTCTCACGTTTAAGTAGTTGCTTATTAACATGCATATTACTAGTATATTGCCTGTTTATTAGTGCACATATTAAAGCCTTATTCTTCATGACCACATTTTGGATACTTCAATCCTACCCCACACCTAAACTTAACAACTACCTTAATAACTATTAGTAAGCAGCAAATTAGAGGAGTTTATTGAGGCAAAAGTCATAGTTAATAATGGTGGGAATTGGTCCCTAAATTGTGACCGAACACATATGTTTTAGGTTCCTCACATTAAAACAAGTAGATACTAATAAAATTATATTAGTAGAAAAAATTTGGGTCAGTTTGTTTAAACAGTCTATTTAGCAAAGAACAGATAATTTATCGTTTTACATACTGGTATAGTTTGAGATACAGACAGTTTCTCCTTCTGTTGAATTGTCGGCTGCCACAGCAGTGATGCAGAATGTGTAACTGACTCCAGCAGTCAGACCAGTGATGTTATACCATGTGTTATTGGTTATTGTATGGTTGGATGTTTTACCATCACTCCAATTAAGGTTAAAGAAAGATCTACTTCCAACTGTTTCATTCCATTTTAGAAACACAGATGATGTTGTGATTTCAGTAATTTTGAGATTCCTGATCACACCTGGCTCTGTGTGGAGAGAGAAGAGCAATTCATACATGTTGATGAAAGGGGGATTAAATAAAGTATGACTGTAAATATGAGTAAGTATGAGTTATGCAATTATGAATTGATAAAATAATTGTAATAAGGCCAGAACTCAGTGAGATGTTGCTGTACAGTTTTCTGCTCAATGCAAGTAAATATGAGCTGGTTTCAAGGATGAAGGTTCAGCAGATTATCTCAGATTAAACATCCAATCAGAGCTCTTACTGGTATACAGTGAAATCTGATTGGCTCTTCCCTCGGTCACATGATCAGCTGCAACTGCAAACACTCTGAATGTGTACTGCGCTCCAGGAATCAGATCATTTATTTTGATGGAGGTGTTTTCAGTCATCACATTCTTATCTTCATATTCTACACGATAACGGAAGCTTTGACCATTCGGTTTAGTCCAGTTTAGTAAGACAGAGGATGTTGTAATATCATCAGCTGTGAGGTTCATTATGACGTCAGGCTCTGTGAGTGAAAAATAACAGACATTTGGGAATTAAAATGTGAATGCTGAAATCCTAATGTAGTGAAGATTTATATATATTTGAAAGGAATCAGTCAATAATATGAGTATCTGGCTAGAAAAATCAGGAAACATTTAATTGGAAAACATACTAGTATATTTTGAGGTAACCACTGATTCTCCTTCTGTTGATTTATCTGCTGCAACAGCTGTGATGATAAATGTGTAATTGACTCCAGCAGTCAGATCAGTGATGTGATAAGAAGTGTTACTAGTTGTTGAACTTCCGTTTGTTTTATCACCCGTCCACTGAATTTTAAAGAAAGATCTATATCCAACTGGTTCATCCCATGTCAGAAACACAGATGATGGTGTGATTTCAGACACTGTTAGATTTATGATCATATCTGGCTCTGTTTGGGGAGAGAAGAGCATTTCTTTTATTTATTTTTTTACAATCAGAACAAAAGTGAAATACATACATATGGGGGAGATGTCGACTGGTGGGATAGATTAACTAACAATTGACTAAAAAGGGGGAAGGCATTATTCTTATAACATACTTTGTAGCACAAAACAGATATTTTATAGTTTTACATATAGTCACTACTATATAGCAAGAAAATTAGATTTTATAATTCTACATACTTGTGAATTGTGAGATGCAGACAGTTTCTCCTTCTGTTGATTGATCTGCTGCCACAGCAGTGATGCAGAATGTGTAATTGACTCCAGCAGTCAGACCAGTGATGTTATAGGAAGTGTTAGTAGTAGTTTTATTTGTTTTATCATCACTCCGGTGAAGTTTAAAGAAAGATCTATGTCCGAATGGTTCCTCCCATCTCAGAAACACAGATGATGTTGTGATATTGTTCACTCTGAGGTTCCTGATCACATCTGGCTCTGTGTTTGGGAGAAAGAAGCAAGTCATAATTGATAATTTGAAAAAACCATCACACAAGGCACAAGCAAAGTAGAAATACATAAAGGATGAAACGTGAACTGGTGGGCCAAATAACAAACAATAGACTGACAAGGGGGAAGGCAGTATTTTGATTTTGAATCCTTAATATGAGCTTTGTATGGAGATTCACAAATGTTGAGTTTTTTTGTTTCTTTTCTTTTCTGTTTTTAACAATCAGGACACATGTGAAAAATAAATACACATGGGGGAAATGTGAATCATTCTTATAACATACTTCGTAGCACAAAACAGACATTTTATAGTTTTACATGGTTACTACTATATTGCAAGAAATATTTTTTTTAATTCTACATACTTGTGAATTGTGAGATGCAGACAGTTTCTCCTTCTGTTGATTGATCTGCTGCCACAGCAGTGATGCAGAATGTGTAATTGACTCCAGCAGTCAGACCAGTGATGTGATAGGAAGTGTTAGTAGTAGTTTTATTTGTTTTATCATCAGTCCGGTGAAGTTTAAAGAAAGATCTATTTCCAACTGGTTCATCCCATCTCAGAAACACAGATGATGTTGTGAAATTGTTCACTCTGAGATTCCTGATCACATCTGGTTCTGTGTGGGGAGAGAAGGGCAAGTCATAATTGATGATTTGAAAAAACCATCACACAAGGCACAAGCAAAGTAGAAATACATAAAGGATGAAACGTGAACTGGTGGGCCAAATAACGAACAATAGACTGGCAAATGTTAAAGCAGTGTTTTGATTTTTAATCTTCAATATGAGCTTTGTATGGAGATTCACAAATGTTGAGTTTTTTTGTTTCGTTTCTTTTCTTCTTTTAACAATCAGAACACAAGTGAAATATAAATACATACAATGAGGACATGTGAATCATTCTTATACTTTGTAGCACAAAACAGACATTTTATAGTTTTACATAGTTACTACTACTGTATATAGCAAGTATTACAAAGGTACAAAACAGATTTCAGTACTTCAATAGGTTGGTATATTAACATTATATCAGTTAATGCAATTACGGTATTTAACTGTAAATTTAAGTTAAAACCGTAAAACCTAAAACGCTGCTACCATATTTTTTTACGGTAAAATTCTGGCAACCATAGCTGCCGTATTTTACCGTAAATTTTATGGATTTTTTTTTCTTTTTTACAGTGAAGTCATAATTGATGATTTGAAAAAACCACAAGACACAAGCAAAGTAGAAACACTTAAAGGATGAAACGTGAACTGGTGGGCCAAATTAACAAACAATAGACTGACAAGGGGGAAGGCAGTATTTTAACTACTACTTTAACGTGAGCTTTGTATGGAGATTCACAGATGTCAAGTTTTTCTTTTTTTCTGTTTTTAACAATCAGGATACAAGTGAAATATAAATACACACAGGAGTAAATGTGAATCATTCTTATAAGATACTTTGTAGCACAAAACAGACATTTTATAGTTTTACATGGTTACTACTATATAGCAAGAAATATTTTTTTTAATTCTACATACTTGTGAATTGTGAGATGCAGACAGTTTCTCCTTCTGTTGATTGATCTGCTGCCACAGCAGTGATGCAGAATGTGTAATTGACTCCAGCAGTCAGACCAGTGATGTGATAGGAAGTGTTAGTAGTAGTTTTATTTGTTTTATCATCAGCCCACTGAAGTTTAAAGAAAGATCTATTTCCAACTGGTTCATCCCATGTCAGAAACACAGATGATGTTGTGAAATTGGTCACTCTGAGATTCCTGATCACATCTGGCTCTGTGTTTAGGAGAAAGAAGCAACACTGTAAAAAATGACCGTGAATTTAACAGTAAAAGACTGTAAAAATCCTACAGTAAAAACCTGTTAAATTGTTAACAGTAAGTTCCCCTTCTATATACGGTGAAAAACTGTATTGGACAGTACATGTAATTTCACGGTAGTATACCGTTTTTGGAAGTGAAAAAGATTGTATAATTTACAGTGAATAACCGTAAATTGACATTCCCAGAATTCCCTGCGTTACATTTCAAATTTGATGTTTTTTTTTTGTTTTGTTTTTTAGATAACTATGTTTCTTCTTAGTTATTTTCTTATCAGTTGTGTACATTAGGGATGTATGTTACATCTAATGTTGTTCAATTAATATTTATTGCATTGTTTCATTTTCATGTGTGTTACCATGATGGTGTTTAGTGTTTATGTGACTGACATTGTGCACCTTCTATATATGTTAATATTTAAAAGCTGCTTGTGATATGCTTTGGTTTATCATGTGATTTTCTCATGACCACCTGCTTTTGGTGCAGTGTATTACAAAGGTACAAAACAGATTTCAGTACTTCAATAGGTTGGTATATTAACATTATATCAGTTAATGAAATTACGTTATTTAACTGTAAATTTAAGTTAAAACCGTAAAACCTAAAACGCTGCTACCATATTTTTACTGTAAAATTCTGGCAACCACAGCTCCCATTTTTTTACCGTAAATTTTACAGATTTATTTTTTTTTTCAGTGAAGTCATAATTGATTATTTGAAAAAAACACAAGACACAAGCAAAGTAGAAACACTTAAAGGATGAAACGTGAACTGGTGGGCCAAATTAACGAACAATAGACTGACAAGGGGGAAGGCAGTATTTTAACTACTACTTTAACGTGAGCTTTGTATGGAGATTCACAGATGTCAAGTTTTTCTTTTTTTCTGTTTTTAACAATCAGGATACAAGTGAAATATAAATACACACAGGAGTAAATGTGAATCATTCTTATAACATACTTTGTAGCACAAAACAGACATTTTATAGTTTTACATGGTTACTACTATATAGCAAGAAAT